GCAATTTCCATATACCTATTATATCACAAGAGGCCAGGAACCAGGAAGGAGGGCTGGGACTTCCTGGTGTGTGCTTTCCCTACCAGAAAGTTCCAAGTCCTTCAGCCATGAGGCTCTCACATTGGAGAGTACAACAGAATCTTCTGGAGGGTTCTTTAAAAAGAGGGAGTGGATTCCAATTCTGGGGGGCCAAACACTTGGTCTTGCACATACTAGACAAGTACTTTGGCACTGAGTTACAATCTCAGCCAATGCTTTAAGATCCCAAAGAGATAACCAGGTCTCAACCTCCACAGTTTCCATTTTCCAAAGCCTGAGCATTTCTAACAAGTTCTATGTAATGCTGATGCTGCAGGTTGGGGAACCACATCTTGAGAACTGCTGAATCCCAACTTCTCTCTAGCCCCGGCTCTCAGTGATCCACAGCACAGTCTCTGAGCTCATCAGAGAGCCCTGGAGACAGCTATCCTAAGACTTCCAGAGCTCCTTCAGTAAGGAAAATGGATTAGTTGAGTTCTGCGTAAGAACAAATTTCACAGGCTATAACCACAAGGGTACTGGGCAGGTCCCAGAAAGAACGAGTCCAAGGTGTTAATGAAGTCTCTGGTTGCTGACATGGCCGTCAAGTGGGGTTGAGTGCCAGCGGGAAGCTTCCAAGAACAGGAAGGAGTTGTTTTTCCTTGTGATGCACCTCTGTAATCCCAGCTTTTAGTAGGCATAAGCAGGAGAATTGTGAGTTCCAAGCTAGCTTAGGCCAACCTAGGCTTTTGTCTCAAAAATAAATAATAAATGACCAGTGTGCATTGTGGGATACTGAGTTAAGTCAAGAGATGACTGTCCAGGCTCAGTGAGACATCAGAGACACAGGCCAAGGAGAATGAGCTGCTTGAGGGCCAAGGGAAGCCATCAGGGGAAGCAGATGGGCTGGCATGCAGCCTAAAAGGTTCTGGCAATTTCCCTATCTCTCCACAGCCACAGTTCCCCCAATTGTGGGGATTCATTCAGTGTTGATTTTGAGGATCAGCAAAGCAAGCTGCCCCGGGAGCCCTCCCACCAGACTTTGTGATAAGTGATGGCTTTCCTGGGGGTTCTTTCTAGAAGGGCCTGGAGAACACAGATGCTTTGTGCAGGACCCTGGTGTCACCTGGCATCAGAATCCATCCTTCCTTCCTTTCCTGCTTCCTACAAATATTAATTCATTGACTGTGTATTGAATCATAATTCATTGAGGCAGGCAATGACAAGATGACAAGGGAGATCCCTGCTCTCCAGGAGCTAACTCTTAAGCACGGGGTGGGGGTTGGGGGTAGGGGGGAATAGTCATCCTGAAAACAAAATATTGACGGATTGAAGAATGTCCACAGGACACTTGGACAGACAATTATGGGACACTTATTTAGAGTAGTCAAGTTGGCCTTTTCTGAGAAGGCAACGTTTAAACTCACAGCCAAAAGAAGAGCCCTGGGGTTAGGAAAAGCAGAGTGTGTTGAAGCCAAGAGAATGTGGACAGAGCATCATGGGCACGGGAAAGTTATGCCAAGTGTCAATGGCTCACTTCTGAAATCCTAGCTATTCAGGCTGAAATCTAAGAATCATGAATCAAATCAGCCAGGGCAGGAAAGTCTAATAGACTTTTATCTCCAATTAACCACCAAATAAAAGCCAGAAGTGAAGCTGTGGCCCAAATGGTTGAGTGCTGGCCTGGAGTGGAAAAGCCAAGTGAGAGAGCAAGGCCCTAACTTCAAGCCCTAACAACAGCAAAAAGAAAGAGATAGGAAGAGAGACACTGTATGAGACCAGGACATGTCAACAGAGATCAGACCACATAGAGTGCTGGAGGCCATGATAGATTGTGGATTATATGTAAATTGCAATTAGGGGTGTAAGCAATGCTTATCAGTGGCTGCTGAAAATATTAAGTGAAAAGTTGCTGGGGAACTTGATGGTGGAGAATCAGACAGCACTACCTGAGGCCCCTGAGAACCAGGGCCCCAGACACAATCTAGTGATGAAGCCTTTCCATTGGTCAGCTAATTACAGGAAACACAAGACCCCAAGACCATCGTGAGCAACCAGTAAAATCTAGTCTGGCCAACCCCAGGTGACTCACGCCCATAATCCTAGCTACTCAGGAGGCTGAGATCTGAGGATCAAAACTGGCCCAGGGAAGGAAAGTTCATGAGACTCCTCTCTCCAATTAAAAACTAGAAAACTGGAAGTGGTGCTGTGGCTCAAGTGGTAGAACACTTGCCTTGAGCTGAAGAACTCAGGGACAGTACTCAGGCCCAAAGTTCAAATCCCATGATGACTGGCAAAAAAAAAAAAAAAAAAATCCAGTCTGCAGGAAACTCTCCAGACAAATAATGCAGTGTTCATGATAAATAAATAGTAGGTGGGAGGGGGCGGAAAGACAGAGGGGGACCTGTAAACTAAAAGACTCAAGAACCACATCAAGGAAGTGGCACTGTGGCTCAAGTGGTAGAGCGCTAGCCTTGAGCTGAAGAGCTGAGGGACAGCACCTAGGCCCAGAGTTCAGACCCCATGACTGACCGGAAAAAAAAAAAACAAAAAAACCACATCAACCAAATGCAATATGGACGAGGTGGCAGATTATATTAATTATAATAAAGGTCTGTGTGTGTATGTGTGTGTGTGTGTGTGTGTGTGTCTGTACTGGTACTAGGGCTCAGAGCCTGGCCTTCTTTTATTCAAGGCTAATGCTCTACCACTTTAGTCACAGCTCTGCATCCAGCTTCTTGGTGGTTAATTGGAGATAAAAGACTCATAGAGTTTCCTGCCTGGACTCGCTGTGAACCAAGTTCCTCAGACCTCAGCCTCCTTAGTAGCTAGGATTACAGATGTGAGCCACAAGTACCTGGCTCAATGAAGACCTTCAATAAGCCACACATCCATGGCCAGATCATGTTGCTGTTCTTCCTATCAAGAGATGAAAGCCATTTCTCCACTGACTTGAATCTGGGCTGTCCTGGAGACAGAGTTTGGTTAATAAAAATGTGGCAGAAGGAAGCTTATTAGCTTTCTTGGAACCTGAAGAGCAACTTACCTGAAGAAGTCCCATCTAGCTTCCTGGGGGAGGAGAAGATGTGGAGAACTGTGACACCCCAGCTACCAGCCAATACTAATCGCCAGTCACAGCAGGGACGTGGCTGCAGCCCTAAGAGAGATCCCAAGGGAAACTCGCAGAAGAGCCATCCACCTGCCATGTCACGGTGGCATGCTACTAAGTGTTGTCACATAGAAACAAATGATAAAGAGAGAAATCTCAATTGGATCTTCACTTAAAACAATTTAATAACTTGTGAAACAACCAGGAAATTTGCTTTCTGGAGACCAGAAGAACTCTAAGGTTAGACACAGCTACCATATGGTAAAGCCTGGTATCTCCCCCCTCCCCTCCCCCTCCTCCTCTTCCTCCTCTTTCTTCTTCTTGTAATTTTTGAAATAATCCAAGCTATGTAGCTCAGGCAGGCTTTGAACTTGTGAGTGACAGGCCGCTGGAGGGCAGAGGCAACCAAGAAAAGCCACCTCCTTATTCGCCACCTGTCCCAATCATTCTTCGCGGGTACCAGCCCAAAACTGCTCAAACTCGCAAAACAAGTTACATGCTGAAAGTTCCTGCTATCCCCAGCCATATAAACCCTGCTACAACCCGACTCTGTGCAACCTCTCTGATCCAGACCAGGGAGTTAGCCCGGGAGCGTACCCCAATAAACCTTTCTTCCTTCACCTTTACCTTCTCCTGCATGTCCTTTCCTCACCTAAAACCTTACATCTGGTGCAGAACCCAGGAAGGCGGTAGGGCGACCAACGGGCATTGCCCCTTCTTGGCCTTTCTCCTCCCTCCTTTCCGGAGGCCTCCTCCATCGGAGCACAGAGCCCACCCAGCTTACTTTGGGGTAAACAGCCACCTGAAAAGACCTTGTGGCCTTTGCCTCCCTAAGAGGTGCATATCCCATGGATGACCACCTAGTGGCTTGGGATATTATTGGTTATCTGTATAAACCCAGCCGAGGCCTCTACCTCTACCCCTCTCTCTCTCTCACCCGCCTCCCCATCAGACCAGGACCTCAGCCTTCTGCACATCCAACCACATTTGGATTGGGTGAGTCCCCACCTACCCTCCCAGGGTGTCCTGGCTTGCTCTCTGGAACTCGGCCCCTTCTGTTCCGTTTCCATAAAATCACGAGCTCGTGTCTGAGTCTCCCTCTGGTCTTTGGTCTAGGTGCTGAGAACAATCAAGGGACACCTGGTCTTCTCTGTCACCTCCGTTTTTATTTGGTAACTCTTTGGCTAAGACAGGGATGCCTTCTTCAGCCTTAGTTTTACCCCAGGCTGCCTGGGCACCATGGGAAACCAAAATTCCAAATCAGACCCATATACTCCTCTAGGTTGCTTATTGGCTTAATCTCAAATCTCTAGGCCTAAGACCTGATCTTAATCTTCCTCTGTAACTGGGAATGGCCTATATACCAGCTCAATAACCAGTAGTGCTGGCCTGAAAAATGGGACTTTCAATTTCAATATACTAACTGATCTCCTCAATTTCTGTGAGCTGACATTAAAAGTGGGCTGAAATTGCTTACGTCCAGGGATTCTTCTACTTATACTCCCATCCCTCCTTCTATCCCTCCCACCCCATATCTCAAATCTTGCTCATGCAGTAGGATCCCTCCAAAAGCTCCCCCCTTCCTCTCCTGACCCTCTCCACTCTCAGTTAGCCTTCCCACCTGTGGCACGTCCACCGCCCTACGCGCTGTCTGACCCCACTGAGCTGAGGGTCTAAGGTCTCACCTGGCATGACCTCCATGTTGTACTCTCCTCCACCCTCACTACGGAGGAACGTGAGCAAGTCTATCAGGCTGCCCAGGCTCCTGGGGATGAGATCCTCCTTACAGATACAACCATGCCTGTGGAAACTGAGGCAGTCCCCAGACAGGACCCTCATTGCCAATACCAGATAGACACAGCTGAGAGTCACGATGGCCGCTTGTGTAGAGATAAGATGATTCAGTGGCTTTTGGCTGGATTACAGGCAGCCTCCCATTAGGTTATTAACTTTGGCAAACTGTGGGAAATTACTCAACTTCGGGATGAGAACCCTGCTGCCTTCCTAGCTAGACTTACTAAGGCCCTGACTAAGTACACCCATTTGGACCCCACCTCTCCGGCTGGGGCAAGCTTTTTGGCCTCTGATTTTATTTCTCTACCACAGACATAAAGAAAAACTTAAAAAGTTAGAGGATGGCCCTCAAACCCCTATCCGTGACCTGGTGAATATGGCCTTTAAAGTTTGCCATGCCCGTGAGGAATAGGAAAAGGCTGATAGTGAAGCCCACTCTTGCCAAAAGGTGGCCTACCAACCCAAGCTTTGGTTGCTGCCCTAAGGCCTTCTATGACACTCTGGAGAAAAGTGCCAACTACCTGGACCCTGCTTCAAGTGTGGCCAGGAGGAGCACTGAGCAAGGAAATGCCCCAAGACCCGTCCTCCCCAGAAACCATGTCTGCTGTGCAATCAAAGGGGACACTGGAAGACCGAATGCCCCTCTGGGCCTAGCCATGGAGGTACAGTTCTTCCCTCCCCTGACTTGCCGCCTTCAGGTCTGGCTGCTGAAGACTGAGGAAGCCCTGCTTCGCCAACCCCAATCACCCTGGAGCCTAGGATAACGGATCCAGGTAGTGGGTAAGGCCGTTTCCTTTTTGGACGATACAGGGGTTACCTATTTGGTCTTCCCTTCCTACTCGGGCCCCTTAATTCCTTCCCAGGTCTTGGTTATGGGAGCTGATGGACTTCCCTCCCAGCCACTAGCAACGGGCCCTCTTACATGCATGATATACAATGGAGGTTCTAAGAGGAATGAGACCTAGCCCCACCCTTAGCTTTAAAATCTAGCGAACTTCTCCACCCAAGCGGTGCCTTGAGGCAATTCTGAGACAACCCAGTTCCACAAGTCCAAGGGAAAATGTGAAGTTTTAAAGTCTAGCCACGGGGCTGGGTAGTTGGCTCTGTGGTAGAGCGCTTGCCTTGCATGCCTGAGGCCCTGGGTTCGATTCCTCAGCACCACATAAGCAAAAAGAAAAAAACCGGAAGTGGCACTGTGGCTCAAGTGGTAGGGCACTAGCTTTGAGCTGAAGAGCTGAGGGACAGTGCTCAGGCCCAGAGTTCAGGCCCCACAACCAGACCAAAAAATAAAATAAAATAAAGTCTAGCCACAAAGAAGATCAAGGAATTGTAAAGAGGATAGTAAAGAAAGTCTTGGGAAAGGAATTGAAAAAAAAAATGGTTTCCTATAAGAAAGCGTTTGAAAATGTTTGTTCCAAAGGAAAGAAGATAAACCTCAGAAAGTGTATGTAGCAAATAGTATGAGTATTAAAAATGGAGCTTATGGGTAAAGCTGGTATGAAATTAACTTGGCTATGATATACAGTCAGGATTGGTGCACTGAAGGGTGAGGTGAGTTGGCTCCTACCCCATCATCTCTAGCTTCACTCCTGCACCAACTTACCTCCTAGCACCTAATCCATGACAGGCCATTTTTCCATTCCTTCCTGGTTATGCCTTCCTGTCCTACTCCCCGTATGGGGTGAGACCTACTTGTTAAGTTACATGCCACTTTGACCTGGATACCCCCTAATTTGGCCCTGGCAGCCCCTCTGTTATTAGTTTCTTCCCCCAATGAGCCCATGTCATCTTCTTCCTCCTCCTCCTCCTCCTCCTCCTCCTCCCCCCCTCCCCCTCCCCCTCCCCCTCCCCCTCCCCCTCCCCCTCCTCCTCCTCCTCCCTTTTCCTTTCCCCTGATTTGGTGGATCCCATTGTATGGGACACCTCCTACCCTGTGGTGGCAACGCACCATCAATCAGCCTGTTCTTATCCATCAGAAAGACCTCTCCTCTTTCCCTGCTCAATCTCAATTTCCCATCTTGGTAAAACTGTCCAGAGTCTGTTGCTCATTATTAATCACCTTAAAAGTAAGGGCATGGATTCACAGGGAAAAAGACAGGCCTCCTATGATATTGTCTCCAGCCAAGGGGAGATGGTAGAGGCCCAGCGCTTCCCTGAGGGAACAATATCTCAAGAGGCTGAATTGGTGGCCCTTACAAGGGCCCTCCATCTAGCTAGAGGAAAAAGATTCATCCAGAGCCACATCCAAGAAATGACCAGAGGAACAGTTAATCAGCTTCTTCTCCACCCGTACACTCGCCTGCCAACTACCCCTCTGGCATACTAGACAACGGGCATACAGCCCCACGGTGCCCCTGTCCAGCAGGAAATAGCCAGATGACTACCGATGCCCTATTACCAAAGATGCCAGGGCATCTGTTGTGGCTCCTGCTGGTCCTAGAAGCCCCGATGGTGCCAACTCATTGGTCCCTCTCTTCCTCCCAGCTCTCTGAGTGTCTTCAGCCCCCAGGTCCTAAGCCTCTAGTGGTTCTCCCAGTCAGTGGCTAAGCCCTGAGTGAAACAGAAGAAAAGGCTCCCCAGAGAATCCACCGTCCCCTGGAATGGGCCACATCCAGTCCCAGAGGAAGTCAGGAGGGGAGTTTGTGAGACAGCATCATGAGTCACCACAGTTAATGACTTCCCAGAAGAGCAGGGCTGGACACTGAGCCCTTCGAAACACTGCTGGGGAAACACATACCTAGTCCCAAGTTAGAAACCCGCAGAGTGGGGCCACCTGTGCCATGTACTCATTGTGGGAAATCTGCACAGAGAGGGAAGCGTGCTGCTGTAGTCTGGAAGAGGGAGAGCCATAGAAGAGGAATGCTTTAGTTTCTGATGCGACAACAATATGCCTGAGACTGAGCAAATTTATGAAGACTAACAGTTCTGGAGGCTAGAAGTCCATAAGTAAGGCTCTAGCTTCTGGTGTATCATAATGTGGCATGAACATCATGTGGTGAGATAGTGTAAATGTGCTAGCTGTGGACTCTCTTCCTCTGCGTAGAAAGCCACTAACACTCTCACAGGGGCCCATCCTTATGATCTCATCTAATCCTAGCCATTCCCTCAGGCCTCTCCTCCAAATACCACTAACATAGGATTTGGGGTATTAAGCACATAAACTTTTGGAGGATACATTCAAAACACATTAAGGAGTCACCCAATGGGATTGAGTTGTGCCCATATTAAGAAAACATCAGTTGGCAGAATTGGACCAGGCAGGGAGGGAGTCAGGAGTCATAACTTGACTGCTCTCTTTCTTGCCCTTCCATCTTCATTGGTGCCTCCCATTGGCTGAACCCAGCTAGAGGTTCAGCCAGAGAATAAGGAACCTGGGCCATATGATCCTTAGAAGTTAAGAGGCCCAAGGTAAGGCCCAGAAGAATAGAACCTGGATTGATATGGGGGAGGGAGAGGGTATGTGTGGGGTGTGTGTGTGTGTGTGTGTGTGTGTGTGTGTGTGTGTGTGTGCATGTGTAACTAACACTGGGGGATACATCTTGGGCAAGATGAGGTATGAGATCAGGATGTGAGTGAGTGGGGGTGGGGGTGTAATTTGTTGAACACATAATCAGGGTACTGGGGCAGGCTCATGGTGTAGCACTGTTCATTGGTGAAAATGTCAGTCATCTTTCCTTGACCTAAGACTCATGCTCTTTGGTCCTAGGAGAGCCCTCTCAACTTCTCAATGGTAGCTGGCCCCTACGTCAGAATGAAAGTGATGATGAGGCTACCCTGGCTGCAAACTTCACCTTCTCTTACTACTACCAGCACTCCTCCCCTGTGGCAGCCATGTTCATCGTGGCCTATGTGCTCATCTTCCTCCTCTGTATGGTGGGCAATGCGCTGGTCTGCTTCATCGTGCTCAAGAACCGACACATGCGCACCGTCACCAACATGTTCATCCTCAACCTGGCCATCAGTGACCTGCTGGTGGGCATCTTTTGCATGCCTACCACCCTGGTGGACAACCTCATCACTGGTGAGTGTGGGCCAGGGGCAGCATCCACTCTTTAGTTATAAAAGCATGGAAACAAAAACAACAACAAGCTAAAAGGCTTGGCAGTCAGAGATCATTGCTGGGCTAGTATCAAGGCCAGGAGGCCATTGTAAATTCTGAAGCTGAGGGATTAGACTAGAAATAGTAGGTGCACTGATTCAATGTTTTTCTTTGTGGCAGGCATTGTTACACGTGGATCGTGTCTTATCTTAATTAATCCCCACAGCAGTTCACTGAAGCATTCTTTATTAGAGAACGTGGTCAGAGCAGTTAAGGGAGAGCTCTGTAGCTACAAAGCTGATAAGTGTCTCATAACCTATCTGCAATCTCACCCTGTTATCTCAGTCCCCCTTGTAGCTCCCAGGGGCAGAACTAGAAGCCATGGGAAGAAGGGAGGGACAGGCAGATTTTGCTCTGAATAAAGACTTAGAAATCCAGTCCTATGAGTTGTTTCCTTTTAGAAAATGGTCTTGTAGCTGGCTGCATGGCTTCATGCCTATAATTGTAGCTACTTAGGAGGCTGAGATCTGAGGATTGTGGTTCGAAGCCAGCCTGGGCTGTCCATGAGACTCTTTTTTTTGCGGGGGAGGGGGTCCGGTCGTGGGGCCTGAACTCTGGGCCTGGGTGCTGTCCCTCAGCTCTTCAGCTCAAGACTAGCGCTCTACCACTTGAGCCACAGCGCCACTTCTGGCTTTTTTCTTTTTGCTTCTGTGGTGCTAAGGAATCAAACCTAGGGCCTCAGGCATGCAAGGCAAGCACTCTACCACTGAGCCACCTTCTCAGCCCCCCTCCATGAGACTCTTATCTCCAATAAACTACTCATAAAAAGCCAGAAGTAGTTCTGTGGCTCAAGTGGTAGAGCACTAGCCTTGAGCAAAAGAAGTTTAGGAACAGCACCCAGGCCCTGAGTGCAAGACCCAGGACCAGCAAAAGAAAAAAAAAGTATGTTGTAAGACTTATTCAAACCAGTTTACATATAAATAGACGACATTAATAAATTTTTACAACTGCTTAGAATTCCACTAGATGCATTTACTACAATTTATTTTTTTTTAATTTAATTTAATTTTATTTGTGAACATACTGTACAGAGGGGTTACAATTACATGGGCAGGATAATGCATACATTTCTTACCAAGCATTGCAGCCTACAATTTATTTATTTATTTATTTATTTAATTAATTTATTTTTTTTGGGTCCAGTCGTGGGCCTGAACTCTGGGCCTAGGCGCTGTCCCTCAGCTCTTCAGCTCAAGGCTAGTGCTCTACCACTTGAGCCACAGCGCCACTTCTGGCTTTTTTCTTTTTGCTTATGTGGTGCTGAGGAATCGAACCCAGGGCCTCAGGCATGCAAGGCAAGCGCTTTACCACTGAGCCACCTTCCCAGCCAACCTACAATTTATTTTTATGGATATTTGGTTGTTTCTAATGCAATCTTCTGCAGTTAAATGAAACCATAATATTTCCTTTTTCTCTCTCTCCTCCCTTTTTCCCTTCCTCCTTCCTCCTCCTCCCCTTGCTGTAGTGGAGAGGGTTAAATGAGTCCTGGCAGACATAGTTCATGCATGCATGGTGTGACTTCACTTTTTTTGTGAGGCTCTTGGTTTTTATGTTGTTCATTCCTGTCTAGGCATGCTCCTGCTCCCTCTGCAATCCACAGGAGTTTTGTTTGATTATATTTAATGTCTTTTCATTCTCATAGCTTCTTGGAAAATGTGTTGTAAATGTGTGTGTTTTACATTTAAATTACTTTTGTTAGGGTATAATTTAACATATGATTTTAGAAAACCTGTCTTTTTTAGCTTACAGTTCCACAACTTTGATGAACACATAATCACACAGGTACCATAACAATTAACACACGGGGCAATTTCACCACCCCCAAAAGCTCTCCTTTGTCCTTTGTAGTTGGCCCCTGCCTCTGCCCTTGTACCGCAGGGGAGATTTGTGCCACAAATCTGTTTTCTGCAGGGACAGAAAGTATAGTCTGTCCTTTGCAAAAGTCATTAAGTAGAATCATACAGTAGGCAACCTTTGGAATTAACTGTGCATTTGTTTTTGCTCCTTATTGTTTCAAAATAATTGAAGACTTAATGAAAATTTGCCATACTAGTACAGAGTTCCCATGTACTTTTAACAAAATTAACTTAAGGTATTATAATAGCAAATTTAAAAGAACAGCACAGAAGAAAACTCTGGAAAATACAATTTCTCTTTTTTATTTTTATTTTTTGTGAACATACTGTACAGAGGGGTTACAATTACATGGGCAAGATAATGAGTATATTTCTTATCAAGCATTGCAGCCTCCTCCTTTGTTTACCCTTCACATCCCTTCCCAGCCTCCCCCTGCCCCCCCACCCAATCCTCCACCCCCCCTTCCCCCTCCCCCCGGAAAATACAATTTTTAAAAAGAACCAGGCCAGTGGCTCATGCTTGCAATCCTAATACTTAGGAAGTTGCAATTTGAGGTCAATCCAGGTCTTTCTCACCTGTCACCAAATTCAAAAGACCTTTCCTCAAACAATAATTGGGTGTATTCTTACCAACTTAGTTTTGTGGAATTATAAAATAGGCAGATATTTAGATATATACCTGGGCAAGAAGAGAGGCCCTATCTCAAAAAATAACCAGAGCAAAACAGGGCAAGAGGCATGACTCAGCAGCAGAGAACCTGCCTAGCAATTGAGTTTAAATTCTAGTACCATGGCTCTAGGAAAGCCAACCAAAGAACAAAAAGCAACATCTGTTAAAAGGTTTAAAAACTTTTATAAAAACATGACTACTTCAAAGATCACTTTGCCCAATTAAATGCACAATCATATTACATATTTTTGTAGACCAAAACTCAGATATACATTGACAGTTATAGGTACAACCATTTTGAGGAGATGAGCTGTATTCATAAAGAACTCTGGGCATGTTAGTGCATATCTGTTATATCAACATTTGAGAGGCTGAAGCAGGAAGACTGTAAGTTCAAAGCCAACATGGGAAACATAATGAAAAAAGAAAAAGTAGGTCAAGTGCAAAATGTCTGATTATGGTAGATAACTGTAATTACCCAGCTTTTTTTTTTTTTTTTTTTTGTCATGGGGGTTGACTCTAGGCCTGGGTGCTGTCCCTCAGCTCTTTAGCTCAAGACTATCGTTCTACCACTTGAGCCACAGCTCCATTTCTGGCTTTTTTCTGCTTATGTGGCACTGAGGAATTGAACCTAGGACCTCATGCATTCGAGGCAAGCATTCTACCACTGAGCCAACTTCCCAGCCCAACCCAGCTTTTTTGTTGGTTGTGGGATTTAGAACTCTGTGCCTGGGCTATGTCCCTGAGCTCTTCAGCTCAAGGCTAGCACACTACCACTGGAGCCACATTGCCACTTCCAGTTTTCTGGTGGGTAATTGGAGATAAAAGTCTCAAAGACTTTCCTCTCCGGTCTGGCTTTGAACTGTGATCCTTTGATCTCAGCTTCCTGAGTAGCTAGGATTATAGGTGTGAACCACTGGTGCCTGACTTCAATCAACTGGTCTACCGTAACAGACAAGTCATCCTCCCACGAGCTCAAAAACCTCAGTGGGTCACTAACCCATATGCAGTTGCCCACAAAGCAGCATGATCTTGAGAATTTTGCAGTTTCCAATGTGCAAAAGTCCATTTGTTCAATGTTGAAGACTTTTGCTTTGTCAAGTGTTGTCATGATGCATCTGTGCAGAGTCAAATCTGAGAACAACAAAACAAAACATAAAAACATATAAGACATATCAAGCTAGGAGCTAGTTGTTCACATCTGTAATCCTAGATACTCAGGAGGCTGAGATCTGAGAACTAAAATTTAAAGCCAGCCATAGCAAGAAAGTCCATGAGATTTTTTTTCTCCATCAAAAAGCTGGAAGTGGGGCTGTGGCTCAAGTGGTGAAGTGCCAACCTTAAGAGAAAAAGTTAAGGAGCAGTGCCCAGACCCTGAGTTCAAGCTTTACGTGTGTGTGTGTGTGTGTGTGTGTGTGTGTGTGTGTGTGTAGAGACAGAGAACTGTAAAACTCATCACAATTTCTACCTCCAGTATTGGAGATGACAAGAAGATAAAATGCATGGCATGGTGAATTGTAAACAAACCACACAATTAACAGCAATAAAAACACCAACAATTTAAAACAGTGAGAGGGGCTGGGAAGGTGGCTCAGTGGTAGAGCGCTTGCCTTGCATGCATGAGGCCCTGGGTTCGATTCCTCAGCACCACATAAACAGGGGGAAAAAAAGCCGGAAGTGGCGCTGTGGCTCAAGTGGTAGAGCGCTAGCCTTGAGCTGAAGAGCTGAGAGACAGCACCCAGGCCCAGAGTTCAAGCCCACGACCGGACCCCCAAAAAAAAAAAAGTGAGAAAGCATTAAAAAAATAAAAACCAAAAAAGAAAACTGAAACCAAACCAAAACAACAAAACCCCAAATCCTATGAAAAAATGTTTGGCAGGGACCAATTATGAGCAATATACAGAGGTGTTCCCCATGGGCTAACTGACTTTCATGGTCATTAACAATGTTTTGAAGTCTTGTATTTAAAAATAATAGCTGCTTGTTTTCTTTGCGGGCCTGGCTGTCTTCTGAGAGTGTCTTCACATTCATTGTCTTCCACCTGGTGGATCTTCCCTGCCTAGTCTATTCAGGCTCATAGCTGATCTCTTCTAGCAACATCCAAAGTAATGCTGGTACTCTGTAGCCTGCTAGGTGTCTGTCCTTTCTGATAGGACACAAGTGACGGTGGACAGCTAGCAAAGTGATAATACCCTCCCCAATAGTCAGCTTACTACCTCCTCCAGTCTATGTTTCCCTTGTCAAAAGAGAGGTTTTTATTGGTTTTTTTTTTTAATTGTGGCTTTCAGGATCTGATTCCAGGAATATGATTTTGGATAAGTTCAGAGATTTTTGGTCTCTATGGCATTCTGGGTTGTCTTTCAGGGCTATGTCTAGCACTGTCTGGTCCAGGTGTCCAATTGGGATCTTGGGTTGTACTGATTGTGTTCAATAGTTTCCTGTTTTAATTTTTTGGTGCTGGTACTGGGCTTGAACTCAGGGCCTGGGTCCTATTGCTTAGCTTTTCCACTCAAGGTTGGCATCCCTTGGCTCCAATTGAGCTAAAGCTCTACTTGTAGCTTTTGGGCAACTAATTTCATTGCCTGGGTGGGCTTCAAACTGCCATCCTCAGATCTCAGCCTCCTGAGTAGCTAGAGCCATCTTAGACCAGCTCATTGAGCCAACTGCACACTTCTTCCCAAATGCATTGGGTGAAGTTGAACTTTGCTAAGCAAGGAGATTTATAATACACAAATTGGCAAATGCTACAAAGCAGGGCTTTGGGGTTTGGTTTGGTGTTGCTTTGTTTTTAAAGCTAATTTACCAGCCTCCCCCTGTTTGCAACTCTCCATCATGACAAACTGTAGTGAAGATTTTTATGGACTGTACTAGGATGCCGTTGGGATATAACTTTGGGAGGAACTGATGGCCAGAGACTTGGCACATACAGCACATAGTTTTCCAAAGTAGAACCAGCTTGCTGTCTAGGGAAGTGCTAGCTTTTGTGACTTCAACTCCCCTGCATCTAGACTGGACTCTTACTATAAATCCACAGTGATTTAGGGACAAAGAGACCATAAGTGATGAGCTGGGTGTGGAGGTACACAGTTATAATCCCAGCACTCTGAAGGTGGAAGGAGGCAGGAGGATTAAAAGTTTGAGACCATCTGGACCTACATGATAAGAACCATCCTAGTATAATCCCCTTTCCCTTTTCTTGACAACTCAAGTGTAAGGATGAAATGGCCTCAAACCTAAACAGGACTGTGGAAGCAGAAAGTCAGGTAGGGACAAAGAGAATGCTCATGGAGAGAAATGGGTCAAGAGAATGGGCCATTTGGGCCCATTTGGGCCAACGTTCTAATAGTTAAAAATGGCTCAGGTTGGTCAGTTCCTCTCTCCTGGATATAGGTAAGCAGAGGCTGCATGACCCCTAGCAAGACAAGGAGGAAAGATTCCCAAGCTTCTGTCATTCCATGGGGGTCCTCTGTCATTGCAGGATGGCCCTTCGACAACGCCACGTGCAAGATGAGCGGCTTGGTGCAGGGCATGTCTGTGTCCGCTTCAGTTTTCACACTGGTGGCTATTGCGGTGGAAAGGTGAGTTTCCCTGAGCGTGGGGCTAGCACTGAGAGCCACTGTCTCCCATGCCATACTGGCGGGGCCACTCTTTTGCAGGTAAGACTGAATCCTGAGCCATAAAGGTGAGGCCTGAAGGACTGGCTGCCCCTCAGAGTTGAGGAACGTGCTAACAACAGCACCACCCATTTCTGGAAGATCTGGAGGCCTCCTGAGGGAGCTTGGTGTGGCTTCTTTGGGGGCCTGGGAGGAGCTTTGAGGGGGCCCTCATCCTGAGGGAGGAATCCCTCCCACCTCCCATAGTCTGATCCCAGCCTCAGAAGTCAGAGCTAGGAGCCTGGGAAGGAGGTTCTGGCCCTGCATCTTCACTCTAGCCCACAATTCCTTGCTGGTCGCTGAAGTCTATGCTTTCAGTCCCCATCTCCAGCATTCCTAGGTTACTCAGCTTCAAATTCCTGCAGATCCTTGACTAAGTACAGTCTTGTACATGTGGCCAGAGACATGGGATGTGGTTCAGAAGGCCTTTGGACCCGCATCGAGCCTGTGAATCTTCCTGTGGCATTGACTTCTTAGTCCTCTTGCTCAGCATCTTCAGTGCAGCTGAAGTCCCTTGTCTGCCTTCCAGGGAATAGGGAGCAGGTTTGTCTTTTGTCCCCACCACTGCCTCACCGTGTGTTGCTGGTAGTTCACTTGGTTACTGAGCCCCCTCAGTCCTATCTGTAAAATGGTTAAAAACTCTACAGGGTGGCAAAGGCTTCGGACAATTCTATCTGTGCAGCTTGGGCACAGCTTCCGGCTCAGAGCACAAATGTCAAGCGCTAATGTTATTTGTTTCTTGCCTAATTCCACATCCTCTTCCTTGTCCCCCTTCATCATGAACCCTTCTCAGCCCTGCCCCTTCTACAATCTAGTGTCCTCATCTTCTTATCAACCCATTGAGATAGGCAGCTGGCATGATGAAGCCAGGTTCCTCTAACCTCAAATTCACTAACTGTCTGGGTGATGTCAGCAGTTTTTGTTGTCAATCCTTGTTTTGTTGACATTGTTGAGTGATAGGTGCACCCTCACCCAAGGGTTGCGCTGGGTTGCAGGATTCTTCCAGCTCTACCCCTTCAAGAAGCCTTCCTAGACTACCCCAGGATCTCCTCCATCCCTTAAGTGCTATTGTACTTACTGCAAGTACTACATAATTTTAAATTAATTAACTAATTCATTAAAGTGGGTCTCTCTATGAAGCTTGCTTGTACTGGTCTTAAACTCTCCCGGACTCCTTACCTTAGCTTAGCCTCTCAAGTGCTGGGATTTATAGGCATGATCACCACACTTGGCTAGTACAAGTCTTAGGTGTTACTTGTTTTCTGGAATGTGTGGCGCTGTGAAGCCAGAAGGCCAAGGTCAAACCCACTGAGGCAGCCTAGCTGCAGTCAGGCTGGGGAAAGGGATGGCAAGAGCACAGGGTACAGGTGAAGCAGAAAGGCCCTTGGTTGGCCTTCAGCAGACTTCTTTTCAGGTACGGTGGAAGGGTGCTGGCTGGCTGAAATGGCACAGGGACAGCCTTTTACTTAGGCTTCACCCCCCCCCCCCCCCCCCCCCCCCCCCCCCCCCCCGCTCCCAGCTCCCAGATGGTAGTGAGGGGCATCCTTAACCAGCTGAACACTTGCATTTGCTGATAGGTGGAATTTGCTTTCCCAAAGACAGAACGAATGCCACAGATTGAGTGCGTTGCCTGCTGTCGGCTAACATTTTATCGTCAGAAGTGCACACGCACACACACAGGTTCCACTCTTCCCAGGCTGGCTCTTCCCTCGGTCCCATCTCTTTAAACCCTGTGGTTGCCTTGGTTTCTTAACCACTCGGGAGGGGGAGGGGGGATTAGAGGGGTGAGCTGCCCTCAATTTGCTGGCAAATTCCTCCGTGTGCAGTATCTGAGCCATGCCCAAAGTGTGAGATCACAAGCATCCACCCGGTATCTCCATCCCACCAACCTTTCCCGAGGTTAGCTCTGCTCCCCTTCCCCACTACCTTCTCCCCCCCCCCTCTCCCCACGCCCTTTCTACTGTCTCTTCTCTCCTCCACCCCGGGAGGGGTGCTGCAGGTTCCGCTGCATCGTGCACCCGTTCCGTGAGAAGCTGACGGTGCGCAAGGCGCTGCTCTCCATCGCGGTCATCTGGGCCCTGGCCCTGCTCATCATGTGTCCGTCGGCCGCCACGCTGACCGTCACCCGCGAGGAGCGGCACTTTCTGCTGGACGCGCGCAACCGCTCCTACCCGCTCTACTCCTGCTGGGAGGCGTGGCCCGAGCAGCGCATGCGCAAAGTCTACACCGCCGTGCTCTTCGCGCACGTCTACCTGGTGCCCATGGCGCTCCTGGTGGTTCTGTACGCACGCATCGCGCGCAAGCTGTGCCGGGCGCCGCCGGGCCCAGCGTGCGACGGCAGCGGTAGCGGCCGCGGCGGCGAGGAGGCGGCGGCGGCCGAGGGAGGGCGCGCGGCGCGCCGCAAGGCCCGGGTGGTGCACATGCTGGTCATGGTGGCGCTGTTCTTCTCGCTGTCCTGGCTGCCGCTGTGGACGTTGCTGCTGCTCATCGACTACGCGGAGCTCAGCGAGCCGCAGCTGCACTTCATGTCGGTGTACGCCTTCCCGCTGGCTCACTGGCTGGCCTTCTTCCACAGCAGCGCCAACCCCATCATCTACGGCTACTTCAACGAGAACTTCCGCCGCGGCTTCCAGGCTGCCTTCCGGGCCCAGCTCTGCCCGGCGCAGTGGGGCAGCCATCATCATCAGCAGGCCTACACCGAGCGGCCCGGAGGGTTCCTGCGCAGGCGGTTCCTGGTGGATGTGCAGCCCAGCGACTCTGGCCTGCCATCCGAATCGGGGCCCAGCAGTGGGGGTCCTAAGCCGAGCCGTCTCCCTCTGCGCAATGGGCGAGTGGCCCACCATCAGGACGTGCCCCGGAAAGGACCGCTCACCATCCCAGCCTGGAACATCTGAGAAGATCCAGGGATGGTACAGGCCGGCCTGTGGCTCCCAGTGAGTAGGAGAGCGTGCTCGGGTGCCTCCTGCTCAAAACCAAGGCAGTGTCCAGCTGTTGACGTTGGCATCTTTGCTGCCACACCCCCAGATAGTGGCAACGAAGGAGAGAGAGCGCTAACTATCCTCCAGCCATTTGTGTTATCAACCGAACAACCCTCATCTTTTTTGGTGCAGTCCTGGGGCTTGAACTAGGGGCCTGGGCTCTGTCCTTGAGCTTCTTTGCTCAAGGCTAGCGTTCTAACCCTTGAGCTACAGCTCTAGTTGTGTTTTTGTTGTTGTTTTGTTTTGTTTTAGTAGTTTATTGGCGGTAAGAGTCTCATGGACTTTCCTGCCCAGGCTTTGCGTTTGAATTGTGATCCTCAGATTTCAGCCTCCCAAGTATGCTAGGCTTATAGGCATGAGTTACCGGCACCCAGCTTGAGTGGACTTTATCGCCCTTCTACTAATGCAGAAACTCATGCCTAGAGAGGAACAGTGGCTAAGCAAGGTCTCTCAGCTGGAAATCCTCCTTGAACCAGTTTCTCTGCTTTCAGCCAGCTCCAGTTGTCTCCTAAAGAACCCCTAAGGTGGAGGCACAAGGAAATAAATAAATACAAACTAGCAGAAAATATCCAGCAGCCAAGGAGGCCTGTGTTTTATGCTCTGAATCACTGAGTTCTCCAAGTTCTGTAGGCTATGGTTACTCCATCTAGAACTTCTCCTGGAAGAACTGAGTGTGCTGCCCCTGCCAGCTCTAATTGTAAGTTGGTCTTACTCCAAGAAATGTCTAGGGCTATTCCCTACCAAGATGTCACCATGCAGCTGGAGGCCTGGACCTCAGAAGGAAGGAAGGGACCCTGTCCCACCTCTATCCTCCAGACCCAGGCAGAACTTGCAGTGTGAAACACATGAGGCAACTGGAAAGACAGCAAATACCAACTTCCCATCTTGGGAAACACATCTGTCTACTGAGGCTGAAAGTCTTCTGTAAACAGGAGATTACTGAGAGGGAGAAGTTGGCCAAGTGAAGCTTCAGCCAGGTGCCCTTGGGGACTTTGGGAGGACAAACACAACCTCCCCAACATGTGACTCATGGACCCTAAAGAAAGAGAAGGCCCAGGGGATCCCACAATCATTCTGGCTCCCACTAATGCACCTGCATCACCTTGAGGAAGTGAGGCACATGTCCAGGAGTTGGGAGGAAATGGCACTGCCTGTGGTGGTTCTTGTGTGCCTCAATAATTTGCAGTGCACTAGATATTTCCTTCTTACTTCTGTTACCAAAATTTCTGGAACTTTAATGACCAAAAAGAAGCATTTTCTGAGAAAGGGGATGAGGTAGGGGACTCAGCACAGGATGACTTGACTCTGTTTATTCCACACTAAGTATTATAACTATGTGGGGACTGGAAACACCTTAGTAGTCATGTGCCTAAGCATGTCCCCTGACTCTGTCGCTTAACCCACACAAATGAGGCTGAAGGAAATGTTGTTCTTGCCAGTTCACAAACCGAATAACTGGAGCCCAAAAGGGCCAAGATCACAGGGATACTAGAGGCAGGACTTACATGAGAATTTCTCTTCTGGAATGTTCTTCATACACTGTGTTGTGCCTTTCAGGGAAGGTTGGTGTGGCTGGGAGGAACACTAGAAATCTTCATATGTTTCCTACCTGTTGATTCTGAACACCTGTGGATCTGGAAGCCTGGTACCCAGGCACTTGGACTGGGAAATAAGTCTCTTATATTTGTTCTGGTAACTACTGGCCTCGGCTGCTCTGTGTACAGTGTCTGCCCCGTGCACAGTGTCTGCCCCATGTGCTGAGCAGGCTACCAAGCTCCTGTGAGTCTGGAAATACTAGCTAAGGGTCTCAGAGAGGGTATGTCATGCTGCCCATGCAGCAGCCTGCATGGTTAGTGTCTTGTGTCACATAGGCCTGAGAGTTGCTGGCTGTTTACTGGGAAGAATTTTGATTCCAGGCTCTAAAAATAGGCCAAAGAGCCATGTTGAACCCATATACTTGTCCTTGAAGCCAGCTAGGAGTTGTCTGAAACACATCTGGCCTCTTTCTGGGAGTCTTTCTTCTTTAAACTGGCCTCCCCAAAGCACAGAAATCACAGCTTTTCTAAGATGAAGAAACTAAGATACTTTCCCAAACCAGCCTTTCCACAATACTTCTTCGCTTTTCCCAAAGATAACATGTCCTGAGAGACTGTGAATGCCAAAGAAATGCATAGGTCTCAAGTCATATATTTTGCTATTTATTTTTATTTTTTATTGTCATTATAAAGATGATGTACAGAGGGGTTACAGTTACATAAGTTAGTAAAGAGTAAATTTCTTTTTTAACAATACTCCTTCTCTTGCCCTCTATTTTGCTATTATCTTTTCTTTCTTTCTTTCTTTTTTTAAAATCAGAGCCCCAGTATGGGAGCATATGCCTGCAATCCCAGCACTTAAGAGGTGGATGCAGAAGAATCATGAGTTGAAGGCCAGCCTGGGTTACTTGTATCTCAGAAGGCTTTGTGACTCATACCTACAACCCTAGATACTCAAAATCAACCTGGGAGGAAACATCCATGAGACTTCCTCTCTAAAATAAACAGCAAAAAGCTGGACTGGAGGTCTGGCATAAGTGATAGAGCACCAGCTCAAGGCTCTGAGTTCAAATGCTGATACCAATAAAAATTAAAACAGGGCATACCTGCCTGTCCAGAGACTTGATTTAAATAATGATAGGTACAACTTGATTTTTTTTTATGAATCAGTGAGGACTAGGGGATCTGTATGGAGATTGTCTGTTTCTTTGTGTATGTGATAAAATATACACTATGCACAATTTACCATTTGAACCATTTTTCAGTGCACAGTTCAGTGTCATCATTCACACTAGGGTAAATTTCTAGCACTATTTGATCATTTCAAATTGCATCTCTGTTCCCATTAGATAAGAGCTCCCTGTTCCCTCCTCCCAGCCCTGGCAATCATGATTCTGCTTTCTATCTAATCTGATTCTTCTACATATCTGTATAAGTGAAGCCATGCAGCAGCTTCCCTCCTTTGCATGCTTTTCAAGATTTTTCCCTGTTATAGTACATATCAGAATTTCCTTGTTTAAAGCTAAATGATATTCCATTGTGTGTCTATTACCCATGGACCCCTGCTTGGTTTACACCTTCCTATGATCACAAATAATATGTGAGCTTTTACATAATGAAGTGATTTTTGAAAACAGTGCCTGGATGGGGGACACAGACTCCAAGATTTCTTCCAACCTGGAAATGACAGGTGATCCAGCAGAGACTCAGGGGACAGTTGATGTGTGTGTGACTCCCCTGAGCCCACCCCAGGTGCTCAAAGTTTCCCTCCCCAAGCTTTCCTGCCTGACTAGAAAGGCTAAAATATTGTATGATCTACCCATGGTATATTTTTTGGGGAACTGTTTTTTTGTTTGTTTCATTGATTGATTGATGGATTGCTATTTTGTCATTCATGGGGCTTGAACTCTGTGCCTGGGTGCTGTCCCTAAGCTCTTCAGCCCAAGGCAAGCACTCTTAACACTTGAGACATAGTGTCACTTTATTGGAGATAAGAATCTCATGGACTTTCCTGCCCAGGCTGGCCTTGAACCATGATGCTCAGATCTCAGCTTCCTGAGTAGCTAGGATTACAGGTGTGAGCCACTGGCACCCAGCTAGGAACTGTTTTTATAATAACTTCTTTGTCCTCCCTGAATTTCTGTGTCCTGACACCTGGAATCAGCGAGAAGTCTTGCTCAACCATGACGCTAAGGAAGGACAAGCCACAGGCCATGTAGGCCTCTCTTGATCAGCCATCCTCTGCCTGTGGCAGGGCTGGGTCTCCTGAGGTGACTGCCCTTTCATAGGTGGGAAGTTGGGAGATGAACTGAGCCTGGGATGGGCCACAGGCCTGTTGACACCAAAGCCTCACCCAGAGGGCCTTTGGAGGGACGCCGTGTCCTGTGGTGTCTTACTTGCGAGTCTCCATTGATGAATAGGCTCTTGACTTCCTGAGACCATGCATAACCTACTGACCAATGTGCGATGGAGGTGGGTGCCGCCCCAGCCCACAAACCACAGTCTGCCCAGCCCTAGGCGCTGGCTTTCTCTTGGAGCCTGGAAGACGCATGAGTTGACTTGAGTTGGAATGGAGGGCAGAGTTGGCAAAGGAGAGCGAGAGTCCCCTATCAGTAATCTACTGTATATTCATCCACACACACAGGTGAGAGCCGAGCCAAGGCAAGGACTAGGAGAACAAAGCATTGCTATTAAGCTCTGTACCTTTCTGCCTCCGTTTCCTCAGCTCACCCCTCAGAAGTGCCACAAAGGAAAGACAGATGACAGCAGTAATATACGGGCATCATGACAAGCAAACAATGTTGAAGCAAAATAGATTCCTTGTTGAATAACACAATTACTGGGTTTTTCTCCTTCCTCTACAAAGCACCATATAATCATTGTAAAAAGTTTATAAAATTGAGACAAGCAAAACAGGAGAATTTAATGTACCAAATCCTGACACAAGACCCCTGCAGTCAGCATATATTTTGTGGCTTTAACTTCACTCATCCTCAGTATCTTCAGTGAGTATTTGCAATTATATCTAGGTCACCATCAGATATTGCCATCCTCCAAAGTTCCCTCATGTTAGCCATAATCACTCCCATCTCATGTCAGAATGTTGTGTCCATGGAATCAGACGTGTTGTAGCATTTACAAGTCCATTCCTTCTCATTGCTAATTAGTATTCCATGTGTGCATGTGTGTACACACATTTTATCTATTCATTTAGTGATACCCCGTTGGGTTGTTCTTAGTTTTAACTAGTATGAATAATATTGCAATGAATATATCATATACAAGTCCTTGTATGTATACATGTTTTCAGTTATTTTAGGCAAATACTTGGTATAAGAAACTGCTGAAGTGTCTTCCACAAGTGTTACATGGTTTTTTTGTGGGTTGGTTTTTTGTTTTTTTTTTTGGTACTGGGGTTTGAACTCAAGACCTTCT